AGCCTCCCAGAGTGCTAGGATTACAGGCGTGCGCCACCGTGCCCGGCCTACAGAAGCTTTTAAACCAACAAATCATCTTCCTTTCCTGCTCCTACATCCCTCTCTCACAAACACACAGAACCTTTCTAAAAGCAAATTAGATTCTCAATATCAGAAACTTGTGGAAGGGTGGATGAGTGAATAGCCAGGACATCTTGATCCCAGCGGTCCTTGTACCCTGTTGAAGTGCAACCAACACCGCCCCAAGCGGCAGTTAGAGGTAAAATATAAATGATGTTTTCAATGGACAGAGGCTACGTATGATGTGCATACTTCGAATTTTCTCTTCCCTTCATCCACTATAGAGTGAAAATATTAGCACCAAAGAGAGGATTGTTCAGAAAATAAATTATATCAAGGGCGTGTGTGGCTACAATGAAACAGAAAAATGAGCAGAAGAAACGTGGTAAAGGAAGTGTAATAGATTTTGCCCAGACCTTTCTGATATGGGATTCTACATTTCAAAAATTGTTTCATGTTTATTTTTCAATGTCTTTCATATCGCTTTTTTGTGTTTCAGGAGTCTGGGTGGTGACTATTTTGCCTGCCTCCCTCACGTGTGTGAGCTACCTATTCCACATTTTGGCCTGTTACAGGTAAGAGCACTCTGGGAGTCATTTGTGTGTCCTTTGCCAGGAGTGTGTGTGACAGGCTTTTCTCAGCATTCCTGAGCCCCGGCTGCAGTGCCCAGGATGGGCCCAGGACGTGAATATAATGTCCAGGGAGAAGCACATCTTTTGGTAGGAAGAGGGGGAAAGCTATTGATTTGAACTTCTGCAATGAGCTAACATCATGCTTAGAATCTTCATTTGGATTTCACCATGACCCTGAGGGATAAGTGCTTTCATCTCCATCTTTATATCTGGGAAAGCTGAGACTCAACAATATTAAATAATTTGCTGAGCAATTAGCAGATGATCAAGTCTTTCTGACCCCAGAGATCTTGTTATTTCTTGCACACTCAGGCACCTCTGCTGGATGGCAGATCTGCTCTGCTCTCCAGGGCTAATAACGCTGGGCTCCCAGCAGGCGAACCTGGTGCATCAAAGGGACCAGGAGCATCAGACTCAAGGACAGCAGTGCAGGAGGCAGGGATGGCCTTAAATATGTAGTGAGCATTCGCTTGCAGACATCAATTGCATGTTAAGTATCCACTGCTCCCTTTTCTCTCTCTCTTTCTCCAACACACACACACACACACACACACACACACACACACACACACACTCTCTCTCTCTCTCTCTCTCTCTCTCTCTCTCTCTCTCTCTCTCTCTCTCTCTCTCACAGGAAGCCCAGGGCTAATTTGCAACTCTCT